ATCGGAGCCCCGTCTGCCATGTCCGTGTCACCGCGGCGCACATCGGAGCCCCGTCTGCCATGACCGTGTCACCATGGGACACATCGGAGCCCCGTCTGCCATGTCCATGTCACTGCAGCACACATCGGAGCCAGCCCCGTCTGCGGTGACAATGACACCGTGGCACACATCGGAGCCCCGTCTGCCATGTCCGCGTCACCATGGGACACATCGGAGCCCCGTCTGTGGTGACAATGACACCGTGGCACACATCTGAGCCCCGTCTGCCATGACCGCATCACCACGGGACACATCAGAGCCCCGTCTGCCATGACTGTGTCACTGCAGCGCACATCGGAGCCCCGTCTGCCATGACCGTGTCACCGTGTGGCGCACATCGGAGCCCCGTCTGCCGTGACCGCGTCACACGTGTCCCCTGCCCTCCGAGCTGCTCTGACCTGTGACGGGAGGACCCCCAGGTTCACACGGGACTCCAGAGCTGAGGGCTGGGGTGGCCGCGCAGTGGGGGCTTCTGGAGCAGGTTGTGAGGATGAACAGGACTGTGGTCACGGCAGGCGGAGCTGGCCAGTGAGAGGCGCAGCGTGGCAGGCGAGCAGCCGACGCAGAGCTCAGGAGCCAGGGGCTTTGGGCTATAGCACACGGTGCTGAGGGGAGAGCCTGGAGGGGCAGGTGGGGCCCAGCCAGACAGGGCAGGGAGTAAGCCAGACTGAGCACCTTGCCAGAGCCCACTCACCCAGGCAGTGAGGAACAGATGGCGGTCTCAGGCTGCAAGGAGCCTGCTGTGTCCTGGGTTAGCCAGATGGAGCCCACGGAGACGGAGCAGCTTGCCTGAGGTCACCCGTGAGTCTCGGAGAGTGACAAGGACTACGGCAGTGTCCCTGGTACCCGGGTGTGGGCAGGGGAACCTCAGGATGCCCGAGGGCTGCTGGAAGTTCCATGGGTAGGTTGCACTTGGCCAGGGCATGGCGCACGCAGACTCCGAGGTGGGAACGAGGCAGGCGATGGCCCAGGTGGGGTCCAGGTGGTGGCTGGAGTGCTGAGGTTGGAGCGGACGCAGGTGCTTCTCTTGGGGGAGCCGAGCCCCACGGAGGCGCAGCGAGGCGGAGGGCTGCAGTCCCGCGGAGGTGCTGGGAGCCAGTCCTGCAGAGCGCTGGTGGGCAGCCGTGCTTCTGGATGTGCCTGGGGCAGTCGGCTGAGGAGGCGTTCTTGGTTATAGCACTAAAGGGAGACCACGT